CAGAGAATACTCAAAAGAAAACATCCCGCGCAGCAAACAGTAAGCTGTTCGTAAACATTTATTCAAGCGCTTTGCAACTATTTGAGGGATGATAAACATAATAGCTCCTAATTTGCACGAAAATATTATCTTATATTTGTCTTCGGAAATTATCTGTTCCTCATAGCTCACAGGTTTCCTTGAGCTTCGCTCTCGGAAAACTGTTCGTATCATAGAGCAGACTATTAATGTTCGCGGACAAATATCCGTGCATATTTCCATGCTAAATAGAGGCTATTGTTTATTTCTTTATCTAGCGACATGCAAATATTCGCTCCAAATTTTAAAAGAACAATTGAAATGGTGTCGAATTAAAGACCAAAGCAAGAAGGTCAAAAACTCAAGGTGAACGGCTGGCATTGACATTTGTAAGCTGTTACCTGGGAAATCAAGTTAACTTCTACTGCAATCGCTAACTCTCTTGAAACTTTGCCATAGCAAATACAACTAATACGAACTGAAGAAGTTCGTTGTATTTTCGCCGGTATTTTATAAAACCGAGCTTTGCCATAGTGCTGTAAGATCTTCATCCCACCGAGATTTAATAAGCAGCACCATTTTCTACGCGCCTTGTTGGCTATTTTCCATCTCATATATAACGTACGCTCGTGGAATAACAATTAAATATTCACCGATTTTTAAAAAAGACAACACAAATTCACGGCCACAGCGTAAAAACCGATCTCGGCGGCTGAAAATTAATGAAAACTATTGCGTATGAAAAGTTTGTAGGAGTTCTCAGCAACTGGTTCCTATTCAGTAAGGTCAGCACGAAGATCTTTCTTTCCGAAAGTTTCCCATTAGCAAGATCATATTTGCACCTGAATAAGTACCGTTTATTTATAGAACTCTTACAAACATTCACTAATTAGGATAAGTGTTTCAACCAAGAAAATGTAATTTTCATGTACTGCGTGTGCTCAATACATTGAGCATACACAGTTTCAATAGGTATACATCATTAATAATGGTAGATATAGGCCATATCTCAAGTCCTATGAACTAATATGAATAAAAAACGTTTTACCACTATCTTTAAAAAAAAAATAGTAACTTTCCTCGACGAGGAATATTCAGTGAGAATTTTTTGGACTGTGTTTACTCCATTTATGAGGACTTTAACAAATTTTGGTTGCCATTTCGGAGAGGCTTCTACCCTCGAGATTCCATTACAGATGAAACTAAAGAAGTAAAAATAACCTTATGCTTTGACGATGACATGATTTAAGCGAATCAGAGTTTCAAGAGATAAAAGCATTTCACGAAATCAACTACAAGAAACTGAGCGCCGACTATGGGTTATATAAGAGATCTTGATGCATTGAAGTGATTATTCGTTTTTGAGGTAGAAGAACTGTCCCCGTTTGCTTAGTTGTGCCGGATGACTTTTCCAAAGTTCAACCAACAAGTTTCCCGCGATTAACACATTTCGTCGGTAGGAGGAATTTGCATCAACGGGGAGAGATCTTTGGTACACCCAAGCAATTGACAATAATTAAGTACTGCTGATCTGCCAGCAGTTCAATTATTTAGTTAGTAAGGTATGGTTTAGTCCTTTGTTGATACTGCCTATTTGGTTAATACAGGAGCCCATTACTAAAAGTAATGGGCTCCTGGTTATATTTGAGTTATTTAGATTTTAGTTATCACGATGAGATCCCTAAATTTGGACAGTCTTGTTTCCTTCCACTAATGGACGTGCTTAGTTTGCCTACCGACCCTGCCTTAGACCCACACTAAAGCTCTTGTTTTGGTTTTCGCATTCTAAAATCGATCGTTTGGTCGAAAGCATCAAGTATGCCCCATCTTACCTTTATAAAGGCCTGTAGAGCTCGTAACCCAATCTCGTACCTAGATCCTGCCGTGTAACCGGAACTGAAATGAAGGCTCCTTGCCACCGCTTGGCCACGGATGGTCTGGGTACGAGACCACTCGTAGCCAGTTCATCAGAGTCAATCAGAGTTTGAGAATCTTAGGGAATCAGAGAAAACGAGAGGAAGTAAGAGTCCGTCGAGGTTAGAGGACCGTCATTATTTATCGCCTGAGAGAAGGGTGAAGGATTTGGGGGGATGTGGGGAAGCGGATGGGGGTTAGTCGTCACCAACAGAGAGCAAAGGGGGACTGTTGAAAAATTGACCGCCAATTAACTGGAAATGAGGGGGATCATGAGAATTTTAGATTCTTATGGAAGGATCAGGTTTATTTAATCGTAAAAAAAAACCAAAATCTTCCCCCCATGGGACAAATAAAGACCAGTGCCGTGGAAAGAGTCGGAGAGAATCAGAGTTGTCGAAGGCAAGAGAAGTGAGAAAGGTGAATCTGTCATAAGTAAAACTGTATGAGCGAACAGAGATTGAACAAGACCGAGAAGGCTCTAGAGATCATTGTGCCTTTCCATAACCGTGTTACCGGTCACCATCAATTTTTTTCTGTTAAAGCTAGCAGAGGGTAATTACCCTCTGCTAGCTTTAACAGAAAAATTTTAGATTTAGATAGCTGCAGAGGGTAATTACCCTCTGCAGCTATCTTGTATTCCCCGTCCTCGCTCTAACAGAAAAGTTGATAGTGTTCAAATGTTTTAACAGTGGCGATCAGCTCGCTTCTATCATCAAAAATTGCATCATAAAATTCAGAGCTATCACGCTCGCAACGGGATATTTTAGGAAGAGAAAAGCGTAAATTGTAGAGTCTCACATTGCCACAAAAAGAAATGGAATCTGGGAATAGCGACATATAACACAAAGGAAGCGATTTCTTGACGTACATGCACAGCCTATTTATTGGCTACAGCGTGCAAGAGAATGTGAAATGTTCTTACTGGGGATGAAACCCGACTAAGAATAGATATGGCCTTTGAGAAATGAAAAGTTTGAATTCTTATATTTTAAAAAAATTTGTTCTGGTACGAAAGCAGCCCATCAAACTGTATTGCAGGACGGTGAACGATTTAATGAACTGAGAATTTACAACACATGTTTTTATAAAAACACGGAACACCTTACTGAGAGCTGATATGTCAAAATCTAGAGACAGAAACGTCGCATCCTTTTAAAGAGAGAAATTACCGCTGAAATGATATTAAAGATAGCGAAAAAAATCCATGAATGCTCACTGATTTCAACAATAAATAATGTATGACACAGAAAATGAAATTCATCTCCTGGATTATATGGAATATAATCGCTCTGACGAAGGGCCAACGCTCGAAATGTCAACCTTTCAACTCTTTATGGTGACCAATTTAAGCTACCAACTCAATTAATAACACTAAATTACCCCGTTATACTCTCCCACCGACGAAGCGCACAGTTTCTTTAGAAACTTATCCTATTTATTTAAATAAAATAATGGTATAAACTTCCTGCTTGAAACTGAAAATTCCGTATTTGGAATTGTGGTAATCTCGTGACAGAGATCATTGACACTATTTTAGTTCAGAGTTCGATATTTAAACAGAACGGTTGTACAGCCTATTGTATTCAGTGTTCAGAGAAGGAAGAAAAGGAGATCGTCGGATGAGCAGACACCAAGTTGAGCTCGTTTCAAGCTGTCAAGACAAGAGAGAGATTCCCAAGAGAGAACCACGTGAACCGTTTGCACAATGCGGCCTTTTCATCCCATCCACGGAGACACACGCTGGGAAATGGAAACGAATGATAATGGTTTAGAGTTCAGAATGAGGACCAGGAATCTTGAACCTTCCAGAGACCCTCCCACCACCACCACCAGTACTCATTCCACCCGCGATGATAAGGGATACCCTAAAGAAGGTTTCGATACGGTGCGGTAATCAACTCACGAGCGATAACGCATTGGTAACTGAGGTGCCAACAGACGTTTATTATTGACCTCATTGTAGAATTAGCTGTTTATCTAAATATTTTCAAGTTATTTTCTGTGACGTCTAAAATTGCCTTTATCAGATATAGAGGCCCACTATAAAAATGTGTAAGAGTTGGTAAACACTTTGTCGAATAGAAAAGAGTAAATCGTTTATTGATTTAAATTCGATTCATGTTGAAACGAAAATTAGCGAAAGAAAAGTAATTTCCTCGTCAAAGGCTTCGCAGTTGGCCTCAATTTAAAACAAAGGCTTTTCTGGATCTCAGCAATGGCCTATTACTCAACGTTTCCGTGTCTCAGTATCGCTAGTCATTATCAAATGCAAATTATATAGATAGCCTGTGAGGAAAATGTTTTGCCGTTGGTGGTCATTGCGTGACCTCTGAATATCATTTCAAATTTTTAATTAAATTGTTGTGTTTTTTACTGTTCTACTTTCTTTTTTGTTCATAAAAAAGAGGATCATATTCCTATGTAAATACATTGTGAACATGTTGAGCCTTTCGTCTTGTTGTGTCGTGTTGATGCTCTAAATTGTTGACCACTAGTCGAGTAAAAACCTCTCTGTACATGAATCCGGAATTATTTCCCTTCTCGGCCCTGGCATGCAAAGTCTTCCTTAATGAAACTTAACGTTTACCCAATAGATTTGGGAAATCTATGGAGGATAGATTTCATAATTTTTTTTCCAAGAAAATCTGTGTCACAGAGCTGTAACAACGTGTGGGAATTTGAGAGATATGCAGCCATTGTTCAAATATAATACGTGTTCATTTGTGGCCTCTTCCTTAAATCTTCTTTTTTTTTTTTTGGTGTGTCTTGAAAATGATAAACTCGAATAAAAAGGCAGTTCATCCTTAATCATATTAGAGAGCTTAAGTGAAGTCACGAGAGGATAAAGGAAGAGAAAAAATCGTTCGTATGAAAATGCATACCATTCGTGTCTCTTCTTTCACATCCTTGCTGTAGTTTTGATAAGCTCTTGCTTAACATTGACGTCGTCAATTTCTCGCCCAGAAATTTTCACGCTTTGCAGACCTACACTAATGTCAGCGGCTGCAACTTGAATAAACAAGATCTGCTACCATGACAACAGCTACCTCACAATCAAATGATGGCAGACGACTCTTGCATATTTTGGTTGTTTTGATGAGGAGTGTTGATTACCCTTGCATGTAACAGAAACTCTTAAAAAAAGGGAAATTATTCCCGTTGAATCTCATTTCCTCGACATGGTGGAAAAATCTAAACCTCCAGCAGCGGCAGCGAAACAAGAAACTCTCCCGAAACGAGCAGGTGGGAACCTTCTTCATTACTATTTTATGGTAGAGGCCAATTTTCCTATCTTCATTCCGATAAATGATTTATCATTTTTATTATATACCCGGTGATTCTGATATGTTGTGTCTGTACGACCTCATATTGTGCTTTTCGTGTCATCTTAACGAGCTTATACTCATGCACTCTGCCCTTTTTATGCAACCGCCTCAAATTTAAAAGAATTAAGGGGATCAACAGCAGCTGCTAAGGAAGCTTTAACACTAGTTCGTTATTAAAATTTTTAGTCTTAGAAGAAAGTGTTTTTCTTGTGAAACGAGTATGGGAGTCTTTATATTTTCATTGTAGCGGTATAAAGTTTAAAAATCTACTGCAATAAATCAAGCAAAAGCATTGTTCTTTTTCGATCGCGTACGAAGGATCTTCAAATTGAGAATTAATACTGCAAATGACTGGTTTTAATTTGGTGAACGAGGCTAACGTTTCGACAACTTGTGCGGAAGTCATCATTAGAGTCAAGAATTTTTTCGTTTGAACCTTTTCCAAAACTGGAAGAGCATGAGATTATTGAAGTGGTACATTCAAGTGGCGTTAAAAATTAATGTGATGCTCCCTCCAAAAAGAAAACCGGGTGAAGGTTTAAAGATAAAGATTAATCTGGATATATAATTAAAAATTGTTTGCTAAAGTGAATTATTGTTTAGTATATATCACATAGATACCAAAAACTTCTGTTTATTTCAATATACCAAGAAATGGTTGTACATTGGCATGTGATTTTGTCTCATTGGCTGCTTGTAGGTGAATAATGCTTGCTAGCCAATCAGCACATGCAAAAAGCACTATTCAGTTTTTTGGCTTATACTTATGGATCTTTTATTTTAGGGACAATTGATCACTTTATAGCAAACTTTTGATACAGGTATACTGAAGAAGTCAAGCACATCTCTGGAACCAGTTCCTGAATTTGCAGAGTCTTCAATTCAAAGAGCAGATTCTAATTTAGATATGGTCGAAAGTGAGGTGAGGGTTTTAAAATTTGGTGTAATCTTAAGTGTCTTCAATGTATGTTGACATTTGGTTTAATAAACATATCTCTGAATTTATAGGAGGTGCTTAATTGAGAATAACTTTTTGTTGGTTAAATATTGTAGGGATCTGTAGGAAGTTGGGCATCTCAAATAGTGCCTGAGACTTTGACCTTGCAATGTGGAGCACTTAGGTTGATCAGTTTGCGAATTATAGCTTCCAATGTGCCTCACACGCCAGCAATGGAAGAAGTTCAAGGATCTTAAAAAGCAACTGTGTGTCACATTATTCTTAACTGACTGATGAAATGATATGTACCTCTCACTTCCCAGGCAAAATTTCTGTAATTTCAATTTATCAAGATCTTAATCTGTGATCTGGTTCGTGATCAGAGCCATGATCCAATCTGTGATTCAATCTGTGATCTGATCACGGATTAGATCATGGCTAGTTCATTTTAGTTCATTGTAGTCCATTTTAGTTCATTTTAGGTCATTTGAGGTCGTTCCTTGTTTCAGTAATTAGGAGTTAAGGGATTGGTAAAATATCACAACAATTTATTTTTTTGTAAAGGAAATCAGGATCAGTTCAAATTGTTGTTGAGATCTACAAGGCTCATTTACATGTACAGTATATTTAAAAACTTAAGATATTGTATCAATGAATTTTCTTATATGTATCTAACAGAGAACATCAACACCACATGAAGAACAACAGAAATTCAAGGCTCTTTGTGAAGGAGTGCAAAACTGCCTGGCATTATTTCAGACTTCCCTTTCAGAGGACGGTAATTTTAAATAAAAATTGGTAAATATGGATACATGTCATCAGGAATAGCAGTGTGGCAGTAATATGCAACAATTAAGCTCTTTTGCCTTCATTAATGATTAATTGTTTATGGTCTTAAGTGGAATCGGGATAATGTTTGTATAGAACATATGATATTGCACAAATTTACATTCTTTTCCAACCTTTTTTTTTTTTTTTTTTTTTCAAAAAGTCAACTTGAAAATTTTAATTCTGGCAACCATTTTATGATTTTAGGTTGCCAAGTAGTAACTTTGAAAAAGTTGAACTTATTTAGAACTTATGTTTAGTCAGTAAAATTATAAATACAAGTCATGTAGAATTCATAATTCAGCTATGATCTATGTTTTGGTTGACTTCTGATGATGCTCTTTTCTTGTTTCTCTTTATCAGTTACTTGCAATAAAAGATGAGCTTTTAAAGGTAATGAGGATAAAAGACTAGACATCCATTAGATATTATGCAATAATAAACTGAATTGCACATATATACTTACACAGTGAATAACGTTGAAAGTGCACACTCTGATTGTGGCTACTCAAACTCCAAATATCCTTAGTTAATTTCCCCTCTGAGCAACTCAAACTGTATTTGTGCCCAAAAACATTATGATTGCTGAAGGAATGAATGAGAGAAAATTTCATCTTTTTGTGCTACATGCACACTGTACATTATTTTACCGTTTTAACTTATTATTAATATAAATTAAAGAACAACTATTTACCTAAAAAGTTAGTAGCTAAAAGAGGATATACCACTAGCCACCTCTACTTTGTTTAATAATTTTTTTATACACCTGTTGTCGTTGGTTCTTACGTACATGCATGATCTATTGGAGGACAGATGGATATAGTTGACCTCAACACTAAAAATTTTTGATCTACGCTACCAGTAAACAGAAGCAAGGCAATGTGGTCTATCTGTTCATTAAATTACTAAATATCCCATAGTTCATTTTTTACCTATAGCACTAACACAGTGCGAACTCCTCTTAAAAGTTCTCAAGGATTTATTTTGTTTGATTTTCAGCATGCATTGCCACCCAGTTTACTCTTAAAGGTTGCGCTGGTCACTGGAAAATTGTTCAGAAGGTATAGTGTATATGTAACTAATTTACAGTTTAATACCAGTATTTTAAACTAACTTTATAAATACAAGCTGGTTAAAGGAAGTTACTCTTTATTTATTCAGTTTTCTTGTACATAATAATGAGATGAAATTTGATTACAGAAAAGTGAAAAATTAACAATCTTGTTCCCAGAGATGTTAAATTATGATAATTTTCCAAACATATTAGACAGCATTTTATGAGCTTGATCAACTTATTTGACTGACCTGGTAGTTTATGATTTTATGCAAATTGATAAAGATCTATTTTCTTGTTCAACTTCACCTTTTTTGGCTTTTTTTTGTTAAATACATTGATATTATTTTTGATTTTTCTTGAAAACTCTTGCGATTCTCTCAACCAATCAGATACAAACCTTAAACCAGATACATCAATCATGGTCACTCTTATTTTCCCATGGTACATGCAGTGTCAGGCAGTAGCTTGTTTTTAGTTCCATTCTCATTTTTACTTTGTTGTGATTGGCTGTTGTGATCATTTAACTTTCACATGAACTTCGAAATGGGCGTTACTCACCATAGAGTCTCTGTGGCTCAATGGTAGAGCACCAGAGTGCAGAATGCAAAGGTCTGAGGTCGATTCCTCATGGGGACTCAGAATATTTTTTCTTTGTCCCATGGAAAAGACTGGAAAACATCTTTCTCTATTTCTTTACCCAGCCCAAAACTTACCACCCCTCTTACACTATTTAACTTTTGTTTTGGTTTTATGAAGGTCAATTAAAGGTCACTTTTAAACCCTTTGACCACTGAGGGTGACTACAATGTAATTTATCATAAAGGAATCATGCTGAATTGAACATTAGGCTCATGAGTATTTTAAAAAAAGTTTTAACAAACTTGAAAAGCTCTTGATTTTTAAATAAATTCTCCCATAAATACCATAGGAAATGTACAAAGAACAGTATGGAGAATATACATGCTGATGCTAGGATGGAAGAGATTAAAGCAAAGTTGATAATTTATTTTTGACACTTGAAAGAAAGAGAGGAATTGAGGCTAATGCTCAAAATTATTTTGTTAGCTCATCAGATCTCAGTGTGATGATGATGATGATCCCTGATGAAAACAAAGAAAAATATCAATTATCGCGTTACTAAGTGATCAGATAGCAAATTCTCCAAACTAACTTGATGAGAATCATTTGGCAGATGGTAAGGAGAATTACTAATGAGATCTTGGGAGTTAAAGGGTTAACTTCATGCTGAACATGATACTAAAAACAGTCACAGCTGTTATCTTAGTCTGTTAGACTTGTTCCCAGTCAATTGGTGTGGGTTAATGGTGCTCAAATCATGTGCCATGTGAATTTATAAATTCACTTTGAATAAAACTCTTACTGAGAACTTTGAAGATCCTCTCTGTGATGCAGAACATTGATACAGCAGTAGTCAACTGAAATATCATGCCTTGTGTTTCAAGAACATTTATGTAAGAAATGCAACAGGAAAGTCACTTTTAATCATATTAGGGAGAAAGCCGAAGTTTTTTAAGGATCAAGAGACTAGGACATAAAAGTGAAATATTTCCTTTGGGGTGTGATTTTGAGACAGAAATCGTTTTGTGAGGGTGGAGGATTAGTGGCCATGGATATCAGCTGCAATAATACAAAATGCAGAATACTAATTTTAGGTTGTGTTCCCTAATACCAAACAGGTTGGCATGGCAGGTCAGGATGCTTAAACTAAACCATGCAGTTTTAGGAAATAATCATTAGGTTATCAAGAGAAGGATGCATAGAAAGTGAAAATTAAATTTAAAGGGTTAAGATTGGGATTTAAATCTAACTGGTTATGTCTTTGCTTGAATTTACAGCAAGCAAAGGCAGTTAAATGTGGCCCTACAAAAACTAGTCCTGGTTGGAATTCAGGTTAGTATTAAGCTTCCTGTAGCCACAGTGATGTGTCAAGTAGAGGATTAAAGCAAATTAAATTAAATTAGACTTGGAAGTTCTGCCCTAGAAAACTGTCTAAAATGTTTTGGATTTGAATTTTCTGCAGCTTGCAATATTGTATTCTTAAACATTTTTCCTATTGAATTCCTTAATTTATAGTCAGAGTAATTCAGAATATCTTGATAGACATAAATGATACCTTAAATAGTATGCACTTCCTATTTAGGAGTCTTCAAATAACTAACTTTTGGGAAGATGATTTTGAATCTTTGTATTTTTGACTTGCATCAGATTAGATTTAAAGAGTACTTGCTATGTGTTATGGTACAAATTTACTTTATCTGTAAAGGAATTGCAAAATGCACTCAAGTTGCACCTCTAGTACATAACACATGACTATTTATACTTGTCTTTAATCAATTTTTATTAAATTCTTTCTTGTGGATGCAGAGTGAAAGGTTAGCCCAGGAGAGGAAGGTGCTTAACTGGGAAAAACTTTTCTCTAAGATGATGGTAAGTACTTTCACCATTACTAATCAGAGCAGGTTCTAATGAACAGTTAAACATCTACACCTGTAAACCTCATAATTTTTCCTTGCACGTACGGGGCTCGGAAAAAATACTACTTAACTCTGGGGGTGTGTCTATGTCAGCAACTTTTCCCCAATAGTAAATCAAGATGCCACAAAAAAACCTTGCTGTCACGCTTTATTTTAGTATGAAACGGAGAATTCTGACATGGCCTTTCCTCACTTTCGACATAAGTATACATCCTCTGAACACGTGCATGTATTCGATTTTCCTTTCATTTAGACCTCAAAGGCGCACGGGTATCGCTGGAAGTTTCTCATTGAGTCTTTCAAAGAAAAAGTGAAGACAGGGTAAGACGAATTGTTTTATTGTTGATTAGGAGACAGAGTTTTGCATGCTTAGTTGTTATTGATTTTTAAACTAGCATGTAAGTGAACCAAATGAAAGTCTCCACTAGGAGTTTCATTTTTTAGTAGGTACACATACATGGACATTTATCAGTTTAAACATTGTACTGAGATCTAACGTACAATTGTGAGAGTGGGTAAAAACAAAGGGTGAAGGCGGAGAAAGCAGCTGGTATTGATATGGCTTTTGATCCTAGTTACAGTTGATGAACGTCTGTTTGCTTTTTGCAGGGAGGTTTATGCAGGTGGTATAAGTACAGATGAAGAAACTGGTAGGACACTGTTTATAAATCCACGTTACATGACTCATCAGTGCTTATAAATAGAATCGTCCTCATAGCTCACAGGTTTCCTTGAGCCTCGCTCTCGGAAAACTGTTCGTATCATAGAGCAGACTATTAATGTCCGCGGACAAATATCCGTGCATATTTCCGTGCTAAATAGAGGCTATTGTTTATTTCTTTATCTAGCGACATGCAAATATTCGCTCCAAATTTTAAAAGAACAATTGAAATGGTGTCGAATTAAAGACCAAAGCAAGAAGGTCAAAAACTCAAGGTGAACGGCTGGCATTGACATTTGTAAGCTGTTACCTGGGAAATCAAGTTAACGTCTACTGCAATCGCTAACTCTCTTGAAACTTTGCCATAGCAAATACAGCTAATACGAACTGAAGAAGTTCGTTGTATTTTCGCCGGTATTTTATAAAACCGAGCTTTGCCATAGTGCTGTAAGATCTTCATCCCACCGAGATTTAATAAGCAGCGCCATTTTCTACGCGCCTTGTTGGCTATTTTCCATCTCATATATAACGTACGCTCGTGGAATAACAATTAAATATTCACCGATTTTTAAAAAAGACAACACAAATTCACGGCCACAGCGTAAAAACCGATCTCGGCGGCTGAAAATTAATGAAAACTATTGCGTATGAAAAGTTTGTAGGAGTTCTCAGCAACTGGTTCCTATTCAGTAAGGTCAGCATGAAGATCTTCCTTTCCGAAAGTTTCCCATTAGCAAGATCATATTTGCACCTGAATAAGTACCGTTTATTTATAGAACTCTTACAAACATTCACTAATTAGGATAAGTGTTTCAACCAAGAAAATGTAATTTTCATGTACTGCGTGTGCTCAATACATTGAGCATACACAGTTTCAATAGGTATACATCATTAATAATGGCAGATATAGGCCGTATCTCAAGTCCTATGAACTAATATGAATAAAAAACGTTTTACCACTATCTTTAAAAAAAAAAATTACTTTCCTCGACGAGGAATATTCAGTGAGAATTTTTTGGACTGTGTTTACTCCATCTATGAGGACTTTAACAAATTTTGGTTGTCATTTCGGAGAGGCTTCTACCCTCGAGATTCCATTACAGATGAAACTAAAGAAGTAAAAATAACCTTATGCTTTGACGATGACATGATTTAAGCGAATCAGAGTTTCAAGAGATAAAAGCATTTCACGAAATCAACTACAAGAAACTGAGCGCCGACTATGGGATAAGAGATCTTGATGCATTAAAGTGATTATTCGTTTTTGAGGTAGAAGAACTGTCCCCGTTTGCTTAGTTGTGCCGGATGACTTTTCCAAAGTTCAACCAACAAGTTTCCCGCGATTAACACATTTCGTCGGTAGGAGGAATTTGCCTCAACGGGGAGAGATCTTTGGTACACCCAAGCAATTGACAATAATTAAGTACTGCTGATCTGCAGGCAGTTCAATTATTTTGTTAGTAAGGTATGGTTTAGTCCTTTGTTGATACTGCCTATTTGGTTAATACAGGAGCCCATTACTAAAAGTAATGGGCTCCTGGTTAATATTTGAGTTATTTAGATTTTAGTTATCACGATGAGATCCCTAAATTTGGACAGTCTTGTTTCCTTCCACTAATGGACGTGCTTAGTTTGCCTACCGACCCTGCCTTAGACCCACACTAAAGCTCTTGTTTTGGTTTTCGCATTCTAAAATCGATCGTTTGGTCGAAAGCATCAAGTATGCCCCATCTTACCTTTATAAAGGCCTGTAGAGCTCGTAACCCAATCTCGTACCTAGATCCTGCCGTGTAACCGGAACTGAAATGAAGGCTCCTTGCCACCGCTTGGCCACGGATGGTCTGGGTACGAGACCACTCGTAGCCAGTTCATCAGAGTCAATCAGAGTTTGAGAATCTTAGGGAATCAGAGAAAACGAGAGGAAGTAAGAGTCCGTCGAGGTTAGAGGACCGTCATTATTTATCGCCTGTGAGAAGGGTGAAGGATTTGGGGGGATGTGGGGAAGCGGACGGGGGGTTAGTCGTCACCAACAGAGAGCAAAGGGGGACTGTTGAAAAATTGACCGCCAATTAACTGGAAATGAGGGGGATCATGAGAATTTTAGATTCTTATGGAAGGATCAGGTTTATTTAATCGTAAAAAAAAACCAAAATCTTCCCCCCATGGGACATATAACACAAAGGAAGCGATTTCTTGACGTACATGCACAGCCTATTTATTGGCTACAGCGTGCAAGAGAATGTGAAATGTTCTTACTGGAGATGAAACCCGACTAAGAATAGATATGGCCTTTGAGAAATGAAAAGTTTGAATTCTTATATTTTAAAAAAATTTGTTCTGGTACGAAAGCAGCCCATCAAACTGTATTGCAGGACGGTGAACGATTTAATGAACTGAGAATTTACAACACGTTTTTGTGTGGGATTTCCCACACTTTGTCAACGCCCGCGAAATTTATTTCTTTATTTATTTGTCCACGAGAGAGAAGTGCTTGTCACGTGGTTTCTATTTGCGTTCAGTGAGCCGTGAAGACTGGATTCCAGTCGGCGTTTTTTCATAGTGTATTGTACGGCGGCCATTTCTCTTCTCAGTCGTTGGGTTTTGGAGAACTTATTCGGAATTTCATGTTTGTTTCTTGGGGATTTTTGTTTCCAAGGTAAGGATAAGTCATTTCATATTTTCACGGGTTCTTTGCTTGCTTTAACTTTTCAATTTTGTTGTGGGAGCTTCACGATTAAGCTCTCACGATAGACGATTACGTTTGTACACCTGGTTTGTGTTCTTTCTTTCATAATCTGAGGCGTTTGTTTCGTTATTTCTTCAGGTGTCTATAACAAAAGATTTTTTCACGTAAGTCAACACGCTGAAACGCGGCTTGTGTTCAGTGCAGGTTGCACAGGAGCTTTTACGCTTTCACAAGCCAACATTTATCGGCTTGGACCTTCGGTGCGGGTTGTGTCAGATTGAAAGGAGTCATTGTACTCTCGCAAGCCAACATTTGTCGGCTTGAATGTATTTGTGCGGGTTGCGCTTCAATGAGTCTCAGGGTGTCTCAAAGTGTCTCACGAGTGTCTCAAAATGTCTCACGAGTGTCTCAAAGTGTCACAAACTGAAAGAAACTATTGTTTGACTTGAACTGTCAAGAGTGTTATCTATTTTTATCAATAAAGGGCAAAATTACTGAGCGCTGATTGGTTGAGAGAGAGGGCATTTTTTCTTAATCGAGGGCATTTTTAGTAATCAAGAGAGGGCATGATTACCTGTTAATGGTTGGCTAATCCGTTGCATAGCAACCATTCGTTATCTTGAAATTTGTTAAAAATAGACTGCGCGCGTGATTTTCCTTCGTATAAATTTTGCCCTTTATTGATAAACAAGTAATCCCATGAGACCTCGTACTATTAAGGATTAATTGCACTTGAGTTTTCAAAATTTTCCAAATTGCCCTCGTCGCTTTGCGACTCGGGCAATTTTGGAAAATTTTGAAAACTCTCGTGCAATTAATCCTTAATAGTACTTGGCCTCATGTGATTACATATACTAATAAACTGAGTTTCTAGTTAGTTGGATTGTTGTTGTTGCTCGCTCAAGCACACAAGTAAATATGGGGATCTCCATTGACCAATTCCGTTCAAGGATTGGATCTTATGAAGATTTACATCCTGATTTTAGTGAAAACTATGACCTCTTTGATGATCTCAACATTTCATCAACATCGCTGAATAATGAACCACTGATATTGAATGAATTACCTGATTTTGATTTTCGTCAAATGGTCCAGACACCCGATAAAGAGCAAAAAGAATTTTTTTAACACATTTTACATCAGATTAAAACCTCAGAAACCCCTTTCTACTGCTTCCTTAGTGGAGGGGCTGGTGTTGGCAAATCGCATTTAACAAAAGCTTTGTATCAGGCAGTGCTTAAGTATTATAACACTAGAGCTGGTGATGATTTTCATCAGATCATAGCTCCAACTGGTAAAGCTTAAGGGTGACACTCTTCATAGCACTCTGGCCATTCCTGCCAATCAATCACTGAGAAATTACAAACAGCTTGATTCAAGTAGACTAAACACTTTGAGAAGTCAATTGATTTTTGTTGATGAAATCTCAATGGTAGGAAATGGTATGTTTGCAATACAGCTAAACAATAGGCTTAAAGATATAAAAGGCTGTAGAGAGGATTTTGGAGGTGTGAGCATAATTGCTATTGGTGACTTATTCCAATTAGAATCTGTTATGGATGCTTATATTTTCAAAGACCTCAAAAATGTAGATTTATGTTGTTCTTTCTCCCAGTTTATGGCATCAACACTTTAAAATGTTTGAACTTAATGAAATCATGGGTCAAAGAGACAGCAAATTGTTTGTAGAATTACTTAATAGGTTGCGTAAAGGTAAACACACAGTAGCTGACATTGCAAAACTTAAAGAGAGCTATACAAGAAGACATCAACAACCCAATAGATGCAGCTCACCTATTTATACAGAATGCTAAAGTAGATGAATTTAAACAAAGGGCCCATAATGCAGCCACAGGAAACAAATTCACAATAAATGCTCAAGATAGTGTTATTGGAGCTATCTCTCCAGAGCTAAGAAACAAAATACTAAGACAAATACCCAATGATCCAAGAAAAACAAAACAGTTAGCCTCAACCCTTTGTCTTGCTGAGGGTGAAAGAACACACCTTGTCATGAATGTACGAACCGAAGATGGCATGACAAATGGTGCTGGAAATGTTGTTAAACTAGTTCAGTTACATCAACAAACCAAACCATCTGGTATTGTATGGGTACAATTTGACCACTCAGATGTAGGTCAGAAAACAAGGAATGAAAAAAGACATTTGTATGTACAATGAATTGAACACACATGGACCCCAGTAAACCCTGTGACTACACAGTTTGCGGTAGGTAGAAACAGAACAGCACAAGTTGTTAGAAAACAATTTCCACTGCGTCCCGCAGCAGCAAAAACAATTCACAGGTCACAAGGTGATACTGACAGTAGAATTGTTGTGGATTTTAGTACCAGAAATACTATTCCACACATACATTATATGGGACTCAGTAGAGTGACTGCTATAGAAGGCCTATATATTTCTGATTTGTGTGAAAGCAAGATTGCTGTTAATCCAGATGGAGAGATTAAGAACAACTGCAAAACTTAAGCTTTGCATCTCCCTCTCCATGACATAACATTTTCCCTTCTTAAACTGTGTTATCTTAATGTAAGGTCTCTTCACAAACACATAGAAGATATACGTAAAGACTTAATTTATCTAAGTGCTGATATCAATATTTTCACAGAAACAAGATTTAATTCTCAAGATAATAATGACATGTATGACATTGCTGGTTATGTTCTCTTCCGTAATGATAACCTTAATTCCAGCAATGGATCAAGGTCTTATGGTGGTACAGCTGTGTACAGTAAAATCCCATACTTACCTGGATACCCCTATTGTCACAATATACATGGTGTTGAAATAACAGTAATTAAGTTAGCAAGGTTTGAGGATTGGACAATCATAGGGATATATCACTCCCCAAACGTGCCTGTAAGACAACTTTATGAAGCAATAACTGAGGTATTAAATAACATTTCACCAGACAACAATATCATTACTAGAGACTTTGATATAAATTGGCTTGTTGAAACAGACAGAAGACCTTTGTATAATTTACTAGTGAGGGATAACCACTACAAACAGTTCATATCAACTTATACAACTGACAACAACACAGTAATTGATCATATATATACAAATATATCTAACATTGATATACATGTACAAGCAGATGTTTTAGAAACACATTTCACAGATCATAAAGCTGTTTGGGCCTCATTTCACGGTGTCCTATAACAAATTACTTTATCATGATGTACATTGTTTTTA